TATAGTTCCCTGTGCTATACAGTAGAACCTTGTTGCTTATCCATTCTATTGATATATGTCATAGTTTACATCTACTAACCCCAAGTTTCCAGTTCATCCCTCCCTACAACTCCCTCCTTGGCGACCACAAGTCTGTTCTCTGTGTCTGTGAGTCTGTTTCTGTTTTGTAGATAGGTTCATTTATGCCATATTTTAGATTCCACATAAAGGTGATATCATATGGTATTTGTCTTTCCCTTTCTGACTTACTTCACTTAGCATGATAATCTCTACTTGCATCCATGCTCCTGCAAATGGCATTTTGTTCTTTTTTATGACTGAGAAATACTGCACTGGCATTATTTCACTTTTTAATGAGTGAGTAGTATTCCATGGTATATATGTACCACATCTTTACCCATTATTCTGTTGATGGACACTCAGGTTGTTTCCATGTCTTGGCTATTGTGAACAGAAGTGCTGTGAACACAAGGGTGCGTGTATGTTTTTGAATTGTAGTTTTGCCCAGGAGTAGAATTGCTGGGTTATACAGTAATTCTATTTTTAGTTTCTTGAGGAATCTTCATACTGTTTTCCACAGTGGCTGTACCAATTTATATTCCCACCAACTGTGTAGGAGAGTTCCCTCTTCTCCACACCCTCTCTAGTGTTTGTTATCTGTAGATTTTTTTTTCATTTTTAATTGGATGATAATTGCTTTACAATACTGTGTTGGTTTCTGCCATATATCAGCATGAATCAGTATGCTGATGATGAATCAGTATGAATCACAAGTATACATATGTTCCCTCCCTCTTGGATCTCCCTCCCATCCCCCACATCATCTCACCCATTTACGTTGTCACGATTTGAACTTCCTGCATTATACACTTAACTTTAACTGGCTATCTAATTTTACATATGGTAATGTACATGTTTCAATGCTATATTCATTGCAGCGTGGCTTATAACCACTAAAAATAGTAAACAAATTGTTAAATGAGAAGATTATAGTAGAAGCTACCAATGAATTTGAAAAAGTTTCAGGATACAAAATTAATATACAGAAATATGTTATGTAATATGTTATGTAATATGTTATATTACAATTGCATCAAAACAAATAAAATATCAGGAATAAATCTGAGGAGGTAAAAGACATGTACTCTGAAAACGACAAGACATTCATGAAAGAAATTGAAGACAACACACATAGATGGAAAGATATACCATGCTCATGAATTGGAAGAATTAATAATGTTAAAATGACCATACTACCCAAGGAAGTCTAGAGATTCAGTGCAATTCCTATCAAAGTACCCATGGATTCTTCATAGAACTAGAACAAATAATTCTAAAATTTGTATGGAAACACAAAATATACCCAATATCCAAAACTATCATGAGAAAGAAGAACAAAGCTGGAGGTATCATGCTCCCTGATTTCTAACTGTAAGACAAAGCTATAGGAATCAAAGCAGTAAAGTACTGGCACAGATATCAATGGAACAGCACAGACAGCCCAGAAATGAAACCATACTTGTATGGGCAATTAGTCTACAAGAAAGGAGGCAAGAATATACAATGGGGAAAAGACAGCCTCTTCAATAAATGGTGTTGGGAAAATTGGACAGCTACATGGATTAAAGACCTAAATGTAAGATCTATGAAACCATAAATGTTCTGGAAGAAAACACTGGCAGTACGTTCTTTCACATCAATCTTAGTGACATTTTTTTGAATGTCTTCTCAGGCAAGAGCAACAAAAGCAAAAATAAGCAAATGGAACTATATCAGACTACAAAGCTTTACACTGAAGGAAACAATAAAATGAAATGGGAGCCTGCTGAGTGGGAGATCATATTTGTAAACACTATTCTGATAAGGTGTTAATATCCAAAATGTAGAGAGAACTCAAAACAACATAAAAAAGAAAACCTGATTGAAAAATGGGCAGAGGATAAATAGATAGCTGAAGAGATATTTATCCAAAGAAGACATATAAATGGCCAACAGGCACATGAAAAGATGCTCAACATCACTAATCATCAAGGGTTGGCCAGGAGTAGAGAAAAGGGAGGCTTTGTGTATTGTCGATGGGAATGCAAATTGGTGCAGCCATTATGGAAAACAGTATGGAGGAGATACCTCAAAAAACTAAAAATAGAACTATATATAGAATTACCATATGACCCAACAATTCCACTCCTGGATATTTAACTAAAGAAAACAAAAACACTCTTTAGAGACCTAAATGTAAGACCAGAGACTATAAAATTCCTAGAGGAACGCAATTCCATGCAGAATACTCTTTAACATAAACTGCGCAATATTTTTTTTTTGGACCCTAAAGTAAAGGAAATAAAAGCAAAAATAAACAAATGGGACCTAACTAAACTTAAAAGCTTTCACAGAGCAAAGCCAAACCATTGGCAAAGCAAAAAGACAACCTATTGAATGGGAGAAAATATTTGCAAATGATATGCCTGTTAAAGGATTAACATCCACCATATACAAATAGTCCGTACAACTTGACATATATATACATACACATACGCACATACATATGTGACACAATGGAATACAACTCAGCCATAAAAAGAACAAAATTATGCCATGTGCAGCAACATGGATAGACACGGAGGATGTTATGCTAAAGTGAAATAAGTCAGATAGGGTAAGACAAATGCTATATGATATCACATATATTTTGGACTCTAAGAAATACAAAAAACAAATGAATATAACTAAAAAGAAGCATACTCACAGATATAGTGAACAAACCAGGGGCTACCAGTGGAGAGAGAGGGAGGGTCAGTATACAGGTGCAAGAATAGGAGGTACAAACTTCTGGGTATAAGACAGGCTCAAGGATGTAATGTACAATATGGTGAATATGACCAATATTCTTTAATAACTGTAAATGGAAAGCATCCTTTAAAAATTATATTAAAAATTAAAAAACAACCCCCTCAAATACCCCACTCTTTAGAAAAGATACATGCACCCTTATGTTAACTGCAACATTGTTTACAATATCCAAGATAAGGAAGCAATCTAAGTGTCCATGAGTAGATGAACAGATAAAAAGAAATATGGAATAAATATATATACACACACACATATATATATGAACATACACACACACAACAGAATATTACTCAGCCATATAAAAGAATGAAATCTTGCCATTTGTGACAACATGGATAGACCTAGAAGGCCGTATGCCAAGTGAAACATGTCTGACGGAGAAAGACAAATACTATATGATTTCACTTAAATGCGTAATCTAAAAAGCAAAACAAACGAACAAACACAGCAAAACAGAAACAGAGTCATGGATACAGAGAACAAACAGGTGGTTGTCAGAGGGAAGGGAGAAGGGGGAGGGGAGAAATAGGTGAGGGAGATTAAGAGGTACAAACTTTTAGTGCAAAATAAATGACTCATAACTGTGAACTGTACAGCGTGGGGAATACAGGCAATAACTATGTAACGTCTCTGTGTGGTGGCAGACAGTAACTAGACTCATCATGGTGATCATTTTGAAACATACAGTGTGTGTGTGCTCAGTCACGTCTGACTCTTTGAGACCCCACGGACTGTAGCCAGCCAGATGCCTCTGTACATGTAATTTTCCAGGCAAGAATATTGAGGTGCATTGCCATTTGTCAAATCACTATGATGTGTACCAGGAACTAATATAGGGCTGTAGGTCAATTATACTTCAAAAAGAAACAAACTCACAGAAAGAGAGATAAGTTATGTGGTTACCAGAGGCGGAGAGGGGGAATTGGATGAAGGCAGTCAAAAGGTTCAAACTTCCAGTTATAAGATCAAGGGTATGTAATATACAACTTGATAAATATAATTAACAATGCTTATGGTATATTTGAACGTGGTTAAAAGAATAAACCCTGAGTTCTCATCCGAAGGGAAAAAAACAGAGGATTACTTAATTACAAGTACTAAATTGTACATGTTCACACAATTTAATATTCTGCAGCCATTAAAAATGATGCTGAAAAGTATATTTCATGGTATGGGAAGGGTTCACAATATGAAATAAAAAGATGTTACAGAACAGTATGGCTTTTTTAAAGCACATATACACACAGATATACAGGCTAACATAATATATGTGCCAAAACACTAACGTTGGTTATTTTCAGATTGGGGCATCATAGGATGGGAAATTACTTTAACTTTTTTTGGGGTAACTAACTTGTATGTTCAAAATTTTCTATATATGTCTTACTTTTGTTCTCAGGAAAAATTTTTTCAAGAATATAAATAAAGTTATAAAGAACACTAGTGCCATGTGTTCTCTTTACTTCAAAAAAGAGTAAGGCTTGAATTGGAATATATGAATATACATGTTATACAATGATGGGAGTTAAAATTTTACTTTTTAAAAAAGCTGTGGGATCTAGAAATAATAATGTTTCTCAAGGACGGTTAGATATTTTGTTCTTTTCTCAAAACATGAGTTTTCTGAGCTTGACTTATAAAATTTAAAATATTCCTTTTTGCTATTAACTAAGGCAGTCCTGCAATCTTTGGAGGCAATACCATGCCACTTCTGTCTGGTTTTGAATTAGTCCAGTGACCATCAACCTTTTTGACTTTAAAAAATTGTTAATGCAAAATTTGGAATATGTACCTACTATGTGATTTATTTACAAATTATGTATCTGTACAACTTTATTAAAATACTAAATATACATGTGAAAACATGCATGGGAATAGAAATTTAAAATGATGAGTTAAAAGGAACAAGAGCTCTAACATTTTCTTCCTAACAATGTCATGGGTTGTCTTATATATACTCTACTCTGGACATCACTGGATAATCACAAAAGATGGGCTTCAACCAAAAAAGACCAACTGTATGTCACTCTGTTCCATTCAGAAGGTCTATAGGAGACTGACCTAGTGTATTCTGGCTCTAGGTCTTTAGTTTATCAAAGGTTATCCAGTTAATGGTGGTGGTATGATTACACAAGAAATATCTTGCTTACCTTGCTGTTGCAATTTGTAATCAGTGGAATATGCCTTCCCAATGATATTCCATACAGGCCTTAAGCATCCAAATAGTCCTTCAAGAAACCCACCGCTGCCGCTGCCTGACCTGCTGAACTGAATCTTGATGTCTTCAGTTCCACTTGTGCCCTCTCCATCCACAGCGTTGCTGTTCCCATGAGACATGGCCATCTCCGATTCATCTTGCTCCCTTAGCTGAAGAACGCTGTTCTCAAACTGGTCCCTGGAATCCTCACTTACGCTTGTCAACACTGTTGTGGTGATAGGGCTGTTGGTGCCCTCAGCTAGCTCAGTTTGCACCATGCCCTTTTCCTGCTGGTCCTTAAGAAGCTTGGGGGAAGCGTGGCTCCCCACAGGTGCGAGGTCATCTTGTAGTCCATTGAAGGTTTTGTTTTCACTCAAAGGTAAGTGTGGAGAAGAGGAGCAGCTCAGGCGCTCCTGAGGGTTGGCCATCGTGCCATGAGTGTGCCCGAGGTCCTGAGATGACACTCAGAGGATCATTAGAGCAGAGTTCCGATGTAAGAGGGGGCTTCAGAACCTGGGGAAAACAGAAGGATGTGAGATCACCCTGTCTTTAGTCAGTCACACTACTACACTTCTGATTATAACAATAAAAATGCTGAAGCAAAGGGGATTGGTTAAACAGTGGTGTTGATCCACATAATGGAATACTGTGCAGCAGTTAAAAATCATGTTGTAGAAGAGTACTTACTAACATGAGAAAATGTTCATGACATATTAATATAAAAAATAGGTTAATATATACAATATATACAACATAAGCCATTTAAAATTTTTATTATTTAAAAAGATACACAAACACATGTGTAAGAAAAAAGACTGGAAGGATACATCCAAAGAATTAATAGCTGTGAATTTTAGGAGGTTAGATTTGGGAGGGATTTATGTTGTGATTTTCAAAATATTCTAAGCATTCTGTATCAATATACTTCTATAGGGTGAATGTCTGTGTTCCCCTCACTCCACTTATGTGATGAAACTCATCTGTGATGTTACTTGGAGGTGGAGGGGGGGTGGCTTTGGGAGGTGATTAAGTCATGACAGTGGATGAATGGGGTTACTGCCTAATGAAAAAGACACTAGAGAACTCCCTTGCTTCTGTTGTCACGGGAGAACATAGTGAGAAGGCAGCGGTCTATGAAGCAGGAAGCAGGCCCTCACCAGACTACTGAACGTGCAAGTGCTCAATCTCGGATGGCTCAGCCTCCAAAAAACTGTCAGAAGTAAGTGTTTGTTGTCTGAGCCATCTACTCTCCAGAATAAAAAACCAATAATCCGGTAAGTAGTATTTGCTAATTTCCCTGGTATAAATACTCCCACCAAGTCAGGTTTCAGGCTCGTAACAATAACTTAACAGCCTGGCTGCAGTTACTAAATATTTGACAACTGGCTCTTACAAACTGGTATACAAGCCAGCATCAGCAATATTATCTTTGTGATAGTGTCATTTTCATTTTAGAGAAGTAAGAAACTTCTAAGGCTACATACTGAGTAAGTGGTAGAGCAAGAATTACAATCTAACAGAATTCAGATTCTCAAATTTCCTTGAATTCTTTATAACAAGGCACCTGGTATGATAACCCTTCATTTTGTTAGAGTACCTTGACCTAAACACCTGCTTGTCTGTGTAAGGAAGCTAGAGCATGGAATCATTACTCCTGTCTTCCCCAGAACACTGAGGCCTAGAGAGAGGTATATATATGCTAAAGGTCACAGAGCCAGGACCTAAACCCAAACTCTCTACTGTACCATGTAGCCTCTGTAAGACATAGTTTCTTTCTTTCAAAGCTTATACACTATTTAAGTTCAAAAGTTCAAAGTGTTAGTCGCTCAGTCATGTCTGACTCTTTTGTGACCCCATGGACTGTATGCCATGGACCCCATGCCAGGCTCCTCTGTCCATGGAATTCTCCAGGCAAGAATACTGAAGTGGGTTGCCGTTCCCTTCTCCACGGGATCTTCCCAACCCAAGGACTGAATTTTACCATCTGAGCTACCAGGGAAGCCCCAACACAGTTAACTTAAATCCTGTTGAGTCATGCATGTGTGCTAAGTTGCTTCAGTCGTATTGGACTCTTTGGGACCCCATGGACTGTAGCCTCCAAGGCTCCTCTGTCCATGGGAGTCTCCAAGCAAGAACACTGGAGAACACTGGGTTGCCACGCCCTCCTCCAGGGGATCTTCTGACCCAGGGATCAAACCCACGTCTCTTAAGCCCCCTGCATTGGCAGGCAGGTTCTTTACCACTAGCACTGCCTAGTAAGATGGCTTTCCTGGTGGTTCAGATGGCAAAGAATCTGCTTGCAATGCAGGAGACCTGGGTTTGATCCCTGTGTCGGGAAGATCTCCTGAAGAAGAGAATGGTTACCCACTCCAGTATTCTTGCCTGGAGAATTCCACAGATAGAGAAGCCTGGTGGGCTGTATATAGCTCATGGAATCACAAAGAGTTGGACACAGCTAAGTGACTAATGCTACTTAAGGAGTTAATAATTACACCGAGGGAATTACCTTCTGCCCACTCTCACCCCCATGACATTCATGCCACATTCTGGTCTACAGGGAATAAGAATGGGGATATGAGAAGGTAAGGAAGATGTGTTTGACACTGACAGAGGAAAGGAAGTTAAGAAAGAATAAGAGTGTGAGCAAAGGCAGAGAAAAAGCAACCAGGGCATGTGTGGGAGAGCTGGTCAGCCAGAAATAATGAAAAAGCCAGCTGATGTTGGACAGCAGTGTGCAATAAAAGTAACTCCTTCACATAGGGGCTCTGAAAACTCATGAAACAATACAGATAATTCTTCCTTTTAAAGAAATCAGAGAGAGAACTTTAACAGGACAAAGTTAGGTTAAGTGAGACAAATTCCAGGGTGTGGAGAAATTTAAGGGCTGGGAAGCTACCTAGAAATATAAGGTTGGGGAAAAGAAAGAAAGAAAAAGAAAAGCTGGAGCCCTTCATTATAGAAACAGCTGTTTTGCTGAATTGACCCCCAGCCCCACCCTCCCCATTTCCTTCTTTTGTGCTCATCTCTAGGCTCTGACATTACTGATCCCTTCATTTTGCTTTCTTGCTGATCTTCTGCCATGACCTTCAGCTGTCTCTTACCTTTGGCCTCTCTGACCTCCCTCTGCTTGCTATCTTTCAGGATCTCTGACTTCATGCTATCTGACCTGGCCACTGTCTGAGCAGATGCTTCCAGTCTGTCTTTGCCATTAGGATCCGTGGTTATCCTTTACAGCACAGGGCATACATTATGCTGTTGGCTCACATCACTTGATAATGCAAATACCCAAATGTATATATGAATTTCAGCCAAACACCTATTTGTGCAAAGTGTTCTTTGAACTCAACTGCGGGATTTTATATTAACTCCTGGTAAATTTCTGTTTTGTCCACTTTTATTCTGAGTTTCTTCTCTTTGATGACATCACACTGAAATTAGCTCATATACAAAAAGTTAGAAAGACATGAGTTTGTTTTGAATTGTCACCTCTTTTCATTTCTTCTTGTTTTTTCTTTTGGCCACACCTTGCACCTTGTGGGATCTCAATTCCCCAACCAGGACTGAACCTGGGCCACAGCATTGGAAGTGCCAAATCCCAACCACTAGACCACCAGAGAAACTCTCATCTCTTCTGATTTCTAAGAGGTTAGTAGTGCACATGAAGTGGACCTGCTCACATAGGCACTGGGAATGAGTCTAAAAAAGAGAACTTTAGCATGGTCGTCACATTCAGTTTGATATTTAGGAGGTCAAGAATAACAGGACCTTCAAGGAATATAGTCCAACCTACCTGTCTCACATACGAAATAAAATCCCAGAGAGACTGTTGACTTGCTCAATACAACTAATTAGTGGCAGAACTGGAATGAGTCCTCTTTCCTTATCCTATGGTCTTCCCCTAGTCTGGTTATTTATTCAGACAAATAGAAACAAATAGTCATGATAGCATGATTGCTGATGACAAAACAGATGATAATTCAATGTTATTCTAGATGCACTAAGCTACATCCGAAAAAGTACAAACATCCATTTAGAGGGGTCACCCTGCATGTGTCAACAGAGCAGTGAAGGGTACCCAGCTTTTGGTGATCCAGCTGCTCTGGGAGCAGGCAGAGGCGATGGAAACCTCAAGATGTGTATAAAGATGTGCAGTCAGAGAGGCTTTCCTCTGCTCACCAAGAATATCAAGTCCAATTGCAACCAACAAAGGCAGAGAAACGGAGGAGCACAGAACAAAAGGAAAGAACTCATCACCATGACTATATTCAAATACGATCAGAGCTGACTCTACATGTAAGAGTGTAGGAGGATAAAAACATCTAAATTTTACCTGCGTTTGTATGGACACCCACACACTGCCACTGCACAGTGTGAAGGAGCTGGTATGGAACCTAAGGGAGCAGAAGCAGCGCCACCACCTCTGCCTCTCTCTTCCTCCCCTCAGTTCCTCTCTCTCTGTCCAGACTGGGCTCGTGTACTCTCTTGGGAACTGACTGGATCTTTTAGTTCATGAGAAGTCGAGGCTAGCATTTATTAGAAGGGGACAGACATGCAACGAGGCAAGAATTTTAAACACTGAGAGTCAAATGGAAAAAGATAAGGAAGAGCAGAGATGCAAGCGGGCAAGTCAGCCTGTGCCCTTATCAGTACCAAGATCTATGGGCAAGGCTGCAGGGGGAGGTGGTGCTGCCTCTGCCCTTATACAGAGCTCCTGAATCTGCAGGAGTACAAGGGAGCCCTCCGTCTCTGCCCTTCAGGCACACTTCCTTGCCCTGTGAACTTCTCAGCCTCAAAAGGAGGAAGTGGTTTGTGTAAAAATTAGTAGGCAAGGGTTGGCGACAGGGACAGCTGTGCATTTGCCAGGGCATTGCCAGTTTCTGGAAATTACCTTGACTTCATGCCAAGATGAATTAGGCACAGAGAAAAAGAGGAAAGGAAGAGGTCAGGTGGCCAAATGGTCCTTGAATTCTTGTGTTTTTATTATATGATACAATTTTCTCCATGTTGCTAAAGAGGATAATTTTATAATAGATCAGATTTTGAGCTTTACAGCACAAATATGAGCAAATCAAAGATTTTGGAAAATTTTACCCCACAAATGAATAAAATTCAACTGAATTCAATGAATTGACTAAAATCGAACAATATTTGAAAGTAGACATGATTGCTAAAATTTTTTGATTGAGCTCTTCCCAAGCTGTCTTCTCTTCAGTTGGCATTGTTTTGCCTTAAAATGAACACAATACTGCTATCCCAACTTTCTGGTTACTTTTCAAAAATTCACATAGCAGTATTTAGAGCATAAGTGAAGTTTATGTTATTAAGGCAATCATTCCCACTTAAAAGCTGGGATTAAGTTACTTGCTCATAGTAATAACTAAAAAAAAATCTTTCTGGGACAGATGTTTATCATGGAGATCTTGATTTGAACTTAAAAAAAATTAGATTGCTTTTTCTAATGGAACTGCAAAATTTTAAGTATATGATTATCTAAAAATCAGAAGAGTGACCTA